CCTTCAGCATTTAGTCATGCAGGTCACATGACCACGGAGGGATCTTCGGACAGCTCTGGCTCTTTGGTTTTGAAATGGAGATGAGCACCGACCCCTAGAATCGGGAACAAATAGCACATATGTTCGAGGGGAACTTTTACCTTTACCTTTAATGGGATACCTGGATGTGGGAATTTTAACATATTCTCTCTTTTTTTTAATAGCACTGAAGTCATAGCAGTGTCCTAGTATGCCCAGGGTTGTCTATTGCTGGCATGGTAGTTCAAATCTTGAATAGGATTCTTGCCTCACACGGCATCTGCTGGGACTCACCCCTCCCAAAGTGTGCCAGTCCAGTATCTGATTTATTTCATATAAACCAGTGGCTGCCAACCTTTTGGGCACTCAGGCACTGCTTCCATGGAGAGAGGTTTTTATGTGGATCGGAAGTGGCATGGTTTCGCGTGCTGCCTGCATCCCGCAGATGGGACTTCACTTGTTTGCAAGGCCTGGCTATTGGCATGCTATGGCCCGATGCCGGTTCATGGATCAGGGGTTGGGGATCCCTGAGATAAACGATGCTGAGCTTCAATGTTTAGATGACCTAGACCCAGGAGCATCAAACTCAAGGCCTGGGTATTTTTTGGAGTATAAGACGTACCTTTTTTCCTCAAAGAAGAGGCTGAAAATCTGGGTGCGTCTTATGCACTGAATACAGCATTTTTTGCCTCCCGAAACTCTATCCCCTTCAACAAAATGGCCATGCATCGCTTTTAGGAGGCTTTCAGAGAACTGCTGGGGGCTGGGGAGGGCAGAAATGAGTGAAAAATGGTCTGTTTTTGCCCCCTCCCCCAGCCCCCAGCAACACTCTATAAGCTTCCTAAAGGCTATCCATCTCCTTTTTTTGGCAAATACGGGCCCGTTTTCGTGAAAACGGGCAGTTTTTTGCTCGCCCACTCCCCAGGAGCACTCTACAAGCCTCCTAAGGGCTATTCATGCCCTTTTGTTTGGGAAAAAAAGTTTTTTGCAAAAACGGGCCATTTTTGGGAGGTTTGCAGAGTGCAAAAACTTTTTCTTTTAATTTTCCACTTCAAAACCTTGGTGTATCTTATACTCCGGTGCATCTTATACTCCAAAAAATATGGTAGTTCTGGTCCACAGGGCCGCCCTGAAACAGCGAAGGACTGGCCCACAGTGCCTCTACCAGGGAAAACGGAGCTCAGGACTGCTGTGTGCGGGCCTCCTGAGCTCCGTTTTCACTGACAGAGGGTTGCAGGAGGCAAGAGCCCGTTTTCGCTGGCAGAGTGCTCAGGCCGCCACAGGTGCTCCCCGATATGAGTGATAGCGAGCTGGCCATGCCCCCCCCCGGCCCTCCAAGGTCAAACACAACCCTGATGTGGCCCTCAATGAAATCGAGTGTGACACTCCTGGCCTAGACTTTGGTATCTGAATATAGATCTTTTTAACAGTCATATTTTATTGTGCTTTTTTAATCTAGGGGGAAATGTTAATATATATGAAATCCCATGTATGATAACGCCACATGCTAAATAAATAGTATGCCCAGATTAATAGACATTTCTTTCTTTCTCTCTCTCTCTCTCTCTCTCGTGCTTAGCTTGTTCCTTGTCAGTATCTGCTGCAACCCGTCAAGAACGAAGACAGACAGATTTACACCCAGCACTTAAAATCCCTGGCATTTTCCGCCTTTACCCAGTGCCGAAGACCTCTCCCAACGTCCACCAATGTGAAAACATTAACAGGGTTTGGCCCGGGCTTAGCGGTGGAAATGGCACTCAAAAGTCCTGATGTGAGTACTGCCAATGGGAGAACAAGGTGAAATTCTAGCGGAGTTTTGAGAAACATTAGCTGAATAAAAAAGGCGCTTCCAGATTATGAGCGCACACCTTGCTCTCGTTTGGGAAAGGTTTAGAATGCTTCTAAATTGGACACAGTCATGGGCAGGAGAGATGAAACTGCTGTAGAGGTAGTCCTCGACTTACGACCGTTGCTTTAGCGGCTGTCACAAGTTACAGTGCCACTGAAAACTTGCGACTGGTCCTTGCTTACAACTCTTGCAGCATCCCTGCGGTCCCGC